TCTGTCTTAACGATTTTCCCCTATAGAGATTTGCCCAGTGCTGTTGATGTGCGTTGTGCTTGTATTTTCATGCAGTAGTGAACCTGAGTTCCGTGGGGGCTGCGCCTGAGCTGATATTACAGTGAACAGGCTACTGGAGACACACCACCCCCCTCCCTCCTTCCCATTGCTGATTACACCGCACCATGCTGAAGGCTGGAAAGATCATCCGCTGTGAAACCTCTCTCTCACCACCGCTCACTAAACAGCTACCAAAGCACAGTATCTGTTACTGTAAAAATTAATTATATCTTCACGCGCTTTCCAAGGATCCCAAACATTAGCATCCCAGAATGTTTTCATGAACAGTGAAATGTGCTACAGACACATACAGTAGGAAACATTTTGCACTGAATTTTGACCATAAACCGGAGAGTCTGCCAGAGATTTCAGGTAGCCCAGAAGAAATCGCTGTTAATAATTTCAGTTGGATTTCACTGGAGGCAGTTGACCTGCGGTTGGTTAGTCCCGGAATCATGAGAGGAGCACAGCACATTCAGAGGACGCAGCATCTGAGATCACGCTTAGGAATGGGTGTCTGGGAGTGCAGTGCGGTGCTTAATCGTGAATGCTAATGTTGATGCTACACTGCGTCTGCTTCGGCGTGGACCGGAGCTCCGTGTACTCATGCAAACCCTGCCTAGGACGATGTTAGCTATTGCTGTCACCTTCATGCATCTTCATTTTATCCTCAGAATGCTACCTCAAGGTAACAGTCTGTCTGCTTCTAGCTATACACCCCATGGTAACGTATTGCAGCAAAGCTAACATCCCGGGGCCCTCGTGCTGCAGTAGCGCCGCTCCACAGGCATCTCCTGCTTTGCTGGGCGGCGGAGATCGTTACGGCCCGCTATCACAGGGAACCATGAGGTCCACTTTAGGGGAAGTCCTGCCAGGGGGAGGTAGCTGCTGTCAATCCCTCCGATTGGACTCGCTCACAGTCCCGTTAGCCTGTCTCTTCTTGGCTCTATATGTAGGGATGGATTCACTTATCTGGGGGCCCTAGGCTGGCCTTGCTGATTTAACTAATCATTGCATTTTCCCTGCGGCGGGGCAGGGTCCTCATGTCTGCCGCGGCCCCAGGCCATAGCCTAGGACAATGCTTCCCAGCACAGTCCTCGAGGACCTAGACTCTCCAAGTTTTGGCTCCTTCCCAGCTCCTGGCCTAAGATTTCTATGCATTACTCTGGCCCTGCCTGCATGGTCCTGTCTAAAGATGTTCCTCGTCAGGGGAGCCCTCTGCCTGTCAGCCCTAGTCACTCGGCCATTCTGTCTTGCTGTTGATTTATTTCTGCATATTGCATTAATGTGTATTGTTTGTGAAAGCTGCTGGATCATGCCTCTCTCCTACCTTCCTGCGTCCCCTTATCCACAGTATTCATCTATCCCAGGACTTGTCAGCATTCTATATCATCAAGAGGGGTTTATCAGTTTGCTGTTATACAATTTTGGCCTGCACAATGCAACCCCTTCCTTTACTCTTTCAGCAGTGATAAGAGATACTTCCCCTCCTGTTTTTTTTTTTTCATTTTTTTTTCTTTTCCCAAAATCTGAAGTTTATATCTGGAGCCGTTAAAGTCAGCAGAGTGGGTGAATGCTCCTGTTAAGTTCCTCCCCCAAGCCTACCTCTCTCCCATGGCATATCTGCAAAAAAAGAGATATTTCACTCCAGAGCAAGCCATTCCACCCATTTCTACTCATTCTTATACTGAAAATTAAAATGATTGTAAAATTAAGTTACACAGAGAGGAAGCTAATTCCGAGTGCTCAGTACCTTTCATGTAAAGTAATGTTTTTCTTGTTCTCATCTAATCTGCTTTCCAGCTAGGTACTATTAATAGCCTTGTGACCTCGAGGCCTAACTGTAAAGTAGCCACCACAGTCCACCTTTTCTGCATTTGGATCCCCTCTCCCCCAGTCAGCTTTGCTTGAGAATAAAGAGATGTAGTGCCACGCTTACATGGAAACCAAACCTGAAAGCAATTTCCCTTGCCCTGTGCTGGACTTTCTGTAAGGGAGTGTTATGCTGTTTTGGTTGGGTAGCCGAAACCACACACCGTGTTCCAGCTGAGGTCTTATCGGTACTCTTGATTACCATCCTTCAATGCACAGATACATCTGAGTATTTTGGCAGCATGTTCACAGAGACACAATACAGGCACAGATGAATATATGTAAAGGTTTACACCATTCTTATTAGCTGCTGTTACCCGTTTCCCCAGTAGTACCAATACTGCCAATTCCAGCGTTCCGGATAAATCACCTAACATTTATCTCCATTGAATTCCATCCACTTCCTCTGCTTGTTGCACCACCTGTTTTTCTATCATTTACAAATCTGTGAAATATGTCAGAATCTGCGATTCGTTTATATTATGAGGCATAAAAGATCCATCACAGAGCACTACAGTAAATCTCGAATACCTCTGCCTCTACTGGAGGCTGTGCCTCTTAAACTCGTACAATACTTTCCACTTTTATTATCCATGCACTACTTTGGATCGCGGCTTTAAAATCAGCCTTTTATGTTAAACTTCTATGCTGTTACAGTAGTTGCCTTCTGGTCTGCTCAGATGTGTGGATTTCCTCAATCTATGCTGTGCCTTTGAGTGATATTGTTTAACAAATCTGAAGTGAAAGCTACCCACCACAACTTCACCTAGTATCTGGAAGCCTAATTGGTCTGAAATTTACAGAACTGGTTCTATTCTAGTGTGGATTGGCCAATTGACCTGATATCAAGCGGTTATTAGCAGGAACGCTAATGCCGATTGGAGAACAACCACAAACTTCACTGCTATCAGCCCAGCAATGCAGATACCCCGGGCGGCGCTCATGTCACGGACAGCGGAGCAGCCCTGACAGACATGTGCCTTGTCTGTCTTAACAATGACCTCGGGGAGATGATGCCAGTTTTCTTCTGATCTCAAATAGCTAATCTCTTAGCCGAGGCCACGGTCACGGCCATTAGGGAGTCCTAGATACATCCTTTTATTTAAAGGATGCATGATCCTGTATGTGCCATTTATGGGAAGTGTTGAAGCTGGTAAAGCGAACGCATGCCTGGATAACAGATATGACTGTAAGAGTGTTACAAAAAAAGGTTAATTAAGGCTTGCCACAATGAAAGGAACTAAATACTCATGCAAATGGAATATTTCAGTTTTTTTTTTATATATTTTGTGATATAAAACTAATATTGTGTTAAAATAATTCATCTTCAGTATCATAATTATTTTTATTAAAAAAGTACAAGCAAAGAACAATTAAAGAATCATTTTGTAATCCAATAAAGTGTATAATTTTGAAAGGGGTCTGAATACTTTTACAGGGCACTGTAAGCATGACATGAGCAGGAAATGACAGTGAATGGGACATTTCTCACTCAATTTCTTTTTGGTCTTCAAAAGGCCGCCTGGTAGCTGGTTAGTCTTGCGATGGCAGTAGCAATACCCGGGTGGGGGGGCAGGAGATTTCATTTTCCCCGCTACATTAATTGCGCATTAGCTGTTTCTGAGTCAGCTGGTGCTTACAGTGTATGTGTGAACAAGCCCCTGGGACCACTGTCAAGCACAGCTCAATCTTTCAATGTCAGGAGCCCACCCACTGCCAAGAGGCCACACAAAAGCCCAGGCCCCCGGACATACGGAATAAGCAGCCCCTGGACCACGAGCTGCATCGTCGTGCACAAACCTCTGCTGTTATTATCTGCCTCAGTGTGTACTTACGACATGCGTACTGATCCTAGCGAGAACACTTTGTCCTGACGCTGTCTAACATTCACCTTTTCGACAGCGTTTGAAGCTAATTTCCATTTTTGAAAATGGTTAGGAGGTAAAGCGCGAGTTATTTCTTTCTTTCGAGGGCCTCCGTGGGGGTGCGGTAATTGAATGGTGAGGAGGCGACGTCACCCCGTGTGGGGGCCCACGCTGCCACATGCGCCCTCTAGGGGCGGGGCTCCGGCTGCTGGAGTTCGTGGACTGAGAAAGACAAAAGGCTGACCAGAGAGCCCGGGGCTCCAGGTCCCGGCAGCGCCACATGCCGACAGTGTGGCTGCCCTTGCCCTTGCCCGTGACTCGCCCATCTAACCCTGGTGGCTGCTGGGTAAATGTGTACCTGTAGTGTGCCTGTGTCACCGATAGCTACAGCAAACCCACATCACACCCCCATAGGGCCACCGTGGAGGTGGGGGTAGGGGGTCTGGCTTCTGGACAGTGAAGGAACCAGAAATAGTCACCAACAACCTAGAGAATTGAAGGTTGCGGTTATTTACTGTACTTTCATCACTTCTTAAGGATTTATGATGGTACATTAAATTGTGCTACTGTTTAGAACCATTACCTTTCTTAATGCACACCAGTTGATAAAAGATCTAGCAGTGCCATTATTTAAATCATTCCCTACAGTCATAAATCTAAATGAATGACATGACCTTTGTGTTTCAGTCTGCGTGCGTAAGACTCTCCATCATCCCGAGTCACGTCTTGATTCATTGCTTGTTGAACAGTGATTATTGCTGCAATTATGGTAGCTACGCATTTCACATTCAACATCTTAGGTATCATACATACACAAATGCCATGCAATCCAGTAAATTGTGCAGTACAGTTACAGATTGTCACCACGGAATAGTACTTGAAAGTCAGCTCCATGTGGCTTATAGCTGGGGGACAGACACTGATGAATGTGAATGACAGAGAGCTCAAGTGGGCAAAGCTAAGAGAAAAAGAAGTTTGTGTGAAACAAGCAGTGGGATGATCGCATTCAGTCACTGGAGTCTGTGTGCAAGCTGCAGTGTAACTTATTCCCCCTGCTTCTCCCAGACGCTGTGCCCATACTCTCCCGCAGTGTGCAAAGAGCTGCAGCCAGCGGCCACGCCTCCTCCGGCTCCCATTGGCCGGCAGGGGCCGCCTCCCTCCTCCACTTCATTGGCATTCAGGCAGTGCACTCTGTGTGGAGGGCAGAGGAGAGTGCGAGTGCTACAGGAGCTGGCTGTGCTCCGGCTCTCCACTGGCTGTCAGCGCCGCCGCTGCCGTTTTCCTGCTCGCTTTCGCAGTGCTGCAGGGACAGAGAGAGGGGAGCACTCTCCAAAGCACAAACCTGGGACCAGCCTACTTGTTTTTCTCCATCTTTTTTCTTGGGACCTAGCCACCAAGGAGCTAGCTCATTTTTGGCCACCTTAACCATTCCTAACCCCCTTCTTTTTCCTCCCTCCACCCTTGTCCTCCGCGGTTCTTCTGAAATTCCTGGCTAGTATATGGATAGAAGTTCCTTGTTTCAGCTCATACAAGAGCAGGTAAGCAGCCGCTGGTTGTTTCTATGGTTACAGTCTCCTTCGTCACCCTGCCTCTCCGTATCCTTTCTTCAATCTGGGGCATCGGGGAGATGGGAGAGGCTGAGCGTGGTGCTGATGCGAGGCAAGGGGGCTTGAGGCTGGAGTTCGGACGGACGCTAGCCTTTGCTAACCGCGTCAGAGTTGGAGACAGGACCGGGACTTGGGAGAATTCACCCGGTGCTGACGATTCTGGCGCTGCCCGTCTCCGCCAGCTCTCTGGCTCTCTGAGTTTGTTTACGGCAGCTGTGCTAGCACAGACGATTCCCTGCCTTTGCAGGCTGCCCCCAGGAAATGGACAAAGCCGTGCTCTGTGGCTCTTTCACACTCAGCTGTATTGAGACCCGCTGTGGCTAGCAGAATGGCACAGCAAAGTTAGACTATGCTGTCGCACTTCCCGAGAGAGGGCTGCAACTATTCTTTCAGTTATTGCCTCATTTTTTTTCTCAGTACATGCGTTACTTCTATCCTGAGAAATACATCGTGGCTGCTGCTGTGACTGAAGACTCAGCATAGTCATTTTTATGGTCCCATCATCCCGGTGCTCCTTTGATTCTCTTCCTGATACAAACTGATTCAGGACTGTAAGTCTTTAGCTGGACGTAGACTGCAGCATAAAGTAATGAGTCTATGGTGGAGCCCCTTCTGGGATCTCAGGTTACAGTGATACGGTGCCGCTTGCCTGTTGTTACCGGGGTGATATATTGAATCATAGCCTTAATTGAAAAGATTTTCATCTAACCAATTCTGAGAAAAGAGACATTGTTTAAAAGCAGTATGTACTTCATTTTAACTTAATTTTAGTGTCATTTGGCTCCATTGATATTAGAGCGATATTGCACTAGTTTTTTTTTTTACAAATTTGCTAAATGACTTGTTGTTAAGAGACAATTGGCACGTCCAATAGCCAGTTAGTAATTAGCACGTCCTGCAGCCATATGATCTGCATGTTTGTCATTCAACTGGTTTATCGTCAGCGATCTCCATGAATTATTACCACACAATACACAACCGTACATTGTAGATAAACATGGTTTGCTTGTTGAGTCGCCGCAGCTTGTTAGATATCCCACTGGCCTCCTGAAACGCTCCCGCTTGTCTGTGTGTTTAAGTGGCTATTGGCTGGAAGAGGCTGCAGACTGGATAACTGGTGGGAATTTATCACCTCTGGGGATCATATGAGAGTTGGCATTAGCCACGATGTGCCAGTGAGGAGTCAGGCTTTAATGTAAAGCTGAAGTTATTGGTGTAAGAAATACAACTGTAAGACGCCCAGTCAGAGCCGATGAATAAGATCTGCTGCCACTGACAGAAACGTCACACAGATACTTTATTTGGACAGATTTCTTTTAAAGCAATTTGTAAAAAAAAAAGAAAGAAAGAAAGAAAAAATAGTGTTCTGTAAATGAATTGAACTGGCAGATTTGTATGAAAGGGCAGACTGCAGAGTGCAGAGAGATCTGTTAATGTTAAATGTTACATCTAATCAAGATCCTTCTAGCAAACTGCAGTAATGATAGTGTGTTACTACTGGATGGTGTCTTGGATATGAGGCACTTTCCACAAAAACCATATCTCATCTTTTGTCTTTGCTATATTTGCCTCAAGTTTAAGCTGTCTTTCAGCTGTGTTGCTTTGCATTTAGCTCAATCGGACATTTGCGGCGCCGGCTGCTTACAGTTTTTCATCCAGCAGTAAGCACTCCAGCTTAGATTACTGGTCCTGACATGTGACTGGTCAGAGGCTTGGCAATCCAGCTTCCTCAGTGGGTGCCAAGGAAGTTCTCCTTCTTGATTTTCCTCATCCAGAATGTGAAAATAATGCTACATGTATAAACAGGTAATATTTCAGGTTTGATGTAGAAGATACATCCCTGTGCAGGGTGTAGCCCAGCCTTGTGCCCTGTGATTCCTGGGGTGGGCTCCAGGTCCTGGGTGACCCTGACTGGGAAAGAGGATGGATGGATGGATGGATGGATGGATGGGGAGGATGCTAGAGCTGAGATGTAAAACCGGGAAAGTTTGAATCAATGGTGGAACTGTTAATTGGAAATAGCCATCAGTTCTTTGGCTGGAGGATCAACCAGTACCCCCCCCCCCCCACTAAATCGCTCCAACAGCTCTGTTGCTCTAAATATGGCTGCCTGATACCCTTCCATCAGTGTGCCCATCAGGCTCCCTGGGAGGTGTCCTGCCACCTTCTGTGTCTGCGTCTATCTCACTCATCCTGCTACCAAGCTGAGATTTTCATACTGGCTACTCTTTGTTTCAAGATCCTTGAAAGATGTCGCCCCGCCCACAAGCCTTGCCCAAGGCCCCCCCGCTTCCTGAAGTGTTTGAAGGCAAGTTCACTCAAACCTGCCCGTTCAACGGTCTTTTTACCTAGGTAGCCTTTGATTTCTAATGGTAACGTTCCTAGTAGGATATCTCAGAAGGCCTGTTACTGTTTTTATTGAGCTCAGTGATTCAGCTATGATCAGAATAGCCCTGTGCTGGCCAGAGGAGGGGGGGGGGGGGGTGCAGGAGCAGATGGGGATAAAAGCACCAGGGGGCACAAAACCAACAGATTGTCAGAGGTTGCAGAGGAGAAGATGAAAATGATGCGAAGCCTCTGAAATGGGTAGACAAAGACGCGTTAGGAAAATCGAGCTGTCATACCACAGCTTTCCCTGGGCATCTGGCCTCGCCGTGCTGGTCTTCCCTGCACTAGAGTGACTTATGCACAGTATTGGAAATCTTTCGCTGCTTCCTTCCTTCTTGCTTTTAGTGAAGATTAGATGCACACGTTCGCATAAATCTAAGCCAGAGTTTAGGCCCAACAGCACCAGTCAGATTATCGAGGTTGCTGTGGCTGCATTCTCATATTTATTTAAGTGTATTTATGCACGTTTTTTCCAGTGTGCTTATTGTCAATTGGTTGGTTGTTTTTCTGTGCAGGGGGGCATGAAGAATGGGCGGGATAGAGCCAAAGTACTCCGGCTAACATGAATCGCTTTATTAGCCTGCCTAAGAGGAGAGCAGTGGTGCTGAGCTCAGGCTATTTCGGGAACGCCATGACACACGGAGCTTTGCACAATCACACAAATATTGTGGCTTTGCCATTCTGCGTAGGTCTAATACGAAAGCACCGCAGATTGGAGCGGGCCCATGCGGCGACGGGGCGGCATCCAAACACGCAACATGTAATTAGAAGCTTTTTAAAGATTCATCTCCTCCCAAAGCCGCTCTCACACTCCTCGATTATCAGCGTTTGGCTGCTCAAGTTTGAGTTCGAGCGCATTTACAGCAAAGTAGGGCAGCGATTCCTCAAAACCTGTCACGGCTCCCACAAGTTCGCCTTTGTCGGCCAGGCTTCGCCACTCGCAGATGTTTTCACTCATTATGGGCACGACGCATATGGCGCTACGCATCACCCTTGGATCGGTTTTGCTTTTTTATCTTTATGGAAATTGATAATCTGCATAAGCGTGGTGGTTGTTTACACATTGAGGGGTGCAAATGGTCCTCTACATCAAACTGGTATTAGTAACCACTGTAATGTAGTCCCACGCTGCCCTGCAAGGCAGAATAATTATGATGATGCGTATTTGTCAGTACGTTTGGCACTTCGACCCACTGCCATGTTCTGGTGAACATCATACGAGGCCCTGCTGTTCTCAGGCTATGGGGGCCTGATTCACCCCTGAACCCTGCCCCCCCCCCCCCCCGCCCTCCTCCCCCTGCCGCTGAATCGCCCCTGTCCTTCTGACCAGCGGCGCATGTGTCCCGCACCCCCATCTCCTCCCTGGCGGAGCAGATGCCCGGAGCTTAAAGGCCGCGTATCAAGGCGGCACATCTGACACCGAGGTGTTAACGTCTGTTTATGCTGAACTCGGGCCTCTCTCCTGCTCGCCCTGAATCTCCTCTCAGGTCAAGAGGAGCGTTTCCCCCTCGCGCCGCCATTTACATTCAGCTGGCAGTCCTCCTGCGGTACCTGCTAAGGGGAGAGACCCCAGCCGCGGAGCCTGGGAGAGATGAGCTCCTCTCCTCCCCTCCCTGTCGGTTTCTCCCTGTGTTGTACATTAATATTATTTAAATCACGGGTTGCCGGCTGTCCTTGTGCGCCTGAGCACAGCTGGCCATGACGGCAGAGTACGGCTGGGCTGATGAATGACTCGGCACAGAGCTGAACGCAGGAGGGAGGTGACGGTTTGGACATGCATTCTGGTTTGTGCGGGCTTGTTGTTGTTCTACTGGGCCATGATGGGGGTATTTATCCGCAGTCTAACAGGGTCCTGCCAGTTAACTGTGTGATAGTGCCGCTGCGACTTCCTCCAGCTCTGTCCGCCTGACCCCTGGCCCCTGACCCCTGGCCCCTGGCCCCTCCCCTCATATCCTCTGTCTGCCTCTTTTTTATCCCGCTGCCCTCTCTTGCTATCTCCCTCGTCCCTGGCCGTCTCCCTCCTTTTCATCGCCGCTTCCCGGCGCCCATCTCCCGCACAGAGCGCGGTAAGAGCCGCGGCGGTTGAGGCGGCCTGTCACCATGGCGACCGGTGCAGCTTTGTCGGCACGCTGCCTCTGCCGTGCTTCTCGATAAGGGCTCTGCCTCTGGGGCGGCCGCCTCGCCTCCCTCAGCCATCTTCCTTCCTCCCTCATTCATGGCACCGCTGGCTGAGGGTTAAACCTTGGCTTGTGTCAGCGAGCCCTCCCCCCATGGCTCAAGTCGGTGCCTGCCAGGAAAAGACTATATATTCAAGCCAGTTTGCTGTCTGTGAGCTTTATTGCTAGTCATACTTCTCTGTGCATTTTTATAGTGCATGTTTAGCTGGTAAATGTATGTCTAGTAAACATGACCATTTTTCAAAGCACAAATGGCAGTTAAAGCTTGAGGACTATATTGGATACATGTCCAACATTTAACTCAATGGACTGAACCCCTTCCCTAGTTCTCCACAGAGCTGTTAAATTGTTTGGAAAAAAATTCTCTGGTAACGGCGGAAATCTGCATCCACCCGCATCCTGTGTTTACACGTGAAAGTGCACGCACTATTAAACGAAGCCATTGTCAGCCATGCTCGACATGATTCACCAGTGAGGAGTCAACTTTGAAAGAGTCATCGATTAGTCAAGTCGTGCGAGTTGTCAGGGTGACGCCCGTGACCCTCCTCCTCCAATGACGTGCTGGCTTGGGGTGAGCCCCCCCCCCCCCACAATCTGCAGCCCAAGCTTCTCTGACGTTTTACAAACGATGTGACGTTGACAACACAATACATTCTTTCAATTGGAAAGCAGCAAAGACTGTTTGCTTCTATATTGCATGTATGTTGACAACACCTTGTGAGATAATAATATTAAGCAAGCTCACATTACCAAGCAAATGAAGTACAGCGGAGCAACATTATTAAATGATAGTCAGATAATTTAAGGGAAGGGCTTCAGCTACCCATTCAGGAGAAGTGTAAAACATTACAGCGTTGCACAGACCTCTGGACGTTTGCCTCTGTTTCTTTTTCAGTTTCCAACCTTGTGATTGGGTAAATATCTTTTTTTCACAAGGTGTTTGTTTTGTTTTCCTGGGCACCGCATGTTCCTGTGATGTCTCAGTAAAGCTGATGCTGATTCCAGCCCCTGTCTTGCCAGTAAAAGCTGACTCAGCATCAGTATTTTGACAGTGGTGGCAATATTTGTTTTCATCATACTATTTCGCAGCCTGGTAATGCTGGGAGAGTCTTGGTATTGTTGCAGCATCTGAGAGTATCGAGTACAGAACTGAACTTCCTGCAGCCTCAGTGTGACAAATACAAAGGCGACCATGGCTGCATTACTACACAAAACACTGAGCATGTGACCTCGAGCTCCAGTATGATCTTAGCGTTTTCAGGTCATCGTTTAATTTGGTAAACACGCTCAGGTTTCCAGCAAAAGTAAAAATATCTGCTTCACGATCCACCTGGGTTTGATACACATGGGTGTGATTGCTTTGGTCTAATAACAGTCCAGTGACATATATCTCTGTACAAATGCCAATGACTGGCTGTGATACAGGAACTCCTGTCCACTTCATTTATGTCTTCTTCATTCTAAGGTTTACTGATGAACTGCTCTTCTCCGTTTGTCTCCTACCAATGTAAAATTCTGTTTTTCATTCAAGGTCGTTTTCATTTTGTTTACCATGTAACATATAATTTTTAAGGATTCTTTGTATGAGGCGGCATGGTGCCAGTTGGGGTCCGTGTGGAGTTTGCATGTTCTCCCCGTGTCATTGTGGGGTTTCCTACAGGTACTCCAGTTTCCCCCCACAGTCCAAAAACATGCTCAGGTTAATTGGTGTTACCGAACTGCCTGTAGGTGTGTGAGTGTGTGAGTGAATGGTGGGTGAGTGTGTGAGTGAATGGTGTGTGAGTGTGTGAGTGAATGGTGTGTGAGTGTGTGAGTGAATGGTGTGTGAGTGTGCCCTGTCTTATGCCTTTGGCTTCCAGGATAGGCTCCAGACCCCCCGAAACCCTGAATAGGACAAGCAGGTATGGAAAATGGATGGATGGATTCATGGTAGTTTTTTTTTTTTTAAAAACCATTTATGTATTTGTTCTAGTCTTCTTTTAATTGTTAATTTACAGTCTGTTTTAGTAATGAGTTCATATTTGGGACAATAAAGAGCCACATATCCCTCAGAGAAATAGAAGAACTCAAACTGAGAAGCTTTATTTGGATTTCATGTTAAATGTAGTTAGGCAATTTTAGAGTGTTAGAGGACTTGCAGTATATTTTAGAAAAGATTCATTTTAGTCCATCTTCCCATCTGTTTATCCAGGTCACGCTTGCAGGGGTAGCTTGGAACCAATCCCAGGCAGCACTGGGCACAAGACATGAGTATGCTGTGGGGAGGATGCCAGTCTATCACAGGGCACACATATTCTACAGGCAATTTAAATATGCCGATTAGCCTAACTGTTACCCACTGAGCCGCCTGGATTCACATTCATGTTTAAATTTTTACCTTGATGCTATTTATTCTACTTATAGTTTATATAGGTTTGACAGTATTAAACTTGCTATGGACAGATCCAGTTCCAGCCTTTGCATTTTCTTTCAGGCATGGCCTGAATTTGACCCGAGCTTTTCTGCCACCTTGCTTTTTAATAGTCCGAGCAAATCAATAGCCAGTTGCTGATCTGCTGCAGCAACTGCTTGTTTATTCTGCTTTGCATGGAGCAAGTCTCTCCCATAAGCCGCAATCTCCATTCCTGTGCCATGTACCTTATCAGTGCTTTGATGGTCTTGCCTGTGACGCCTTATTTTAATAACCATCTGGTCTTCTGATTTCTGAAGTCCTCCCTGATACATCCCAGCAATGACCGACTCGGTAATATCAGAGGGTGGAGTTTGAAATATATACATGATGAGAGTTAGTCAGTGGGCGGCTTGTGCTCTGGCTGAACGTGAGAAACTCTGACAAAGACCAGAAATAAACAGTGTCAGTGGACGGGCTTGTGCAGATGTTGCTATGTCAGTCACCCGTCAGCAGGTGGCTCTGTATTTGCAGAAACAGATTTTCTGATCTCTGTGACCACTGATAAGACTCATCTTAATTTCCATAAAGACAGACTTAAGAGTAATTAGCCCGCTGACCAGGAAGAGCAGAAAGCTGCGTGGGTGTGGTGAAAACTCTCTAGCGCATGATCACATATTTCCCCACAAAAGCATCGGACCTGGGCAGTCAAACAGATTAACCGCAATTAAAATACCAATTAGACAGACTTAACCAGCTGAAAAAAACAGTGTCTGGGCAAAAAAAAAGGCAGCCGGCCTAGAAACCAGATCCAGGTTATGCCAATTAACAGCCATCGCCTGCAAATGGTCACTGGAAATGCAGACGCACATACCCAGACTGCCTGTCCAACCTCGTGTTCAAGCTCGTGTCTGCTACATCTGCAGTCAGCCACACCCCCCAGAGGGAAATTCCTTTGACAAAGTCAGCCAAAGCTCGAAGTAAAATAGCTCCCCTTCAGGGCCGCGACAGGAAAGCCCAAAGGCATCGAGAGAAACAGTGTAAAGAGCTCCATCGCGACGCTGCGGATCTGAGGCGGATGGAGCTGCAGATTATCAGTCCCGCACATCCACGTACTCGCGGTACAACGGAGTTTAAGAGATGCATTAAGTAACTAGGAGCCACGTACCCGGAATGACTCCAGAATGATGCAAGAGCTGAAAATCGGCTCTCACCAAGCAACAACACGTTGTTTTCTGGCACATGGACAAATGTCTATGTAGTTTTACTTGTAAAGCTAATATAAATGAGCTTTGCCAGTGAAACATTGTTTGTTACTGTTCTTACACAGTCTCATAATATGGGAGGAGCATTAGTTTATTTCACAGATAGCAAGGGAATGAATGCTGAGACATTGTTTAACAGGCACAGAACAGACAAAGACAAGTGTCTGTGTCAGCGAGGCCCTGCTTAAAGCCCATTCCATGCAAGGCACGATTTCAGCCTTCTGACGATTGGCACTTTTATGACGCTCCCCTGCCTGGATCAATTAAAGAAGAGAAGCAGTGAGCAGGTTTCTGCATTAATAGCTGCCCAGGCTTTGGCTTACAGGGAATTGACAAAGTGCCTGACTGTTAGAGGGTTAGGGACTGGTTACTGGTTCTGCGTGTTCTTAGGCTTGAAGACTAGCTTCAGGTACACTTTGATGTGAAATCAAATGATGAGCCGTCACCTCATGGCAAAGATGAAAACGCAAAAAGATCTGATGTCCTACTGCCTTGCATCTTGCTTTCTTTAAAGTGTTCCATGCCTTAATTTTACTTATACTGCTATTTGAAGACGTCCCACATGCAGAAAGCATGGTAATGGTTTCTACCATTAATACAGTTGTGTTGTCGCGTTTGGCAGCTGGACCCAGAGAACACCGGTTTCATCGCAGTGGAGAACTTCACCAGCCTGGTGGAGCACCATGAGCTGCAGCTGGACCCATCCAAGCTGGAGATGCTGTTTGCCCTGGTGCAGAGCAATGAGGAGGGTCAGGTCTGCTACCAGGAGCTCATCGAGCTGGTGAGTGCCGAAGCAAGCTGGGATTGGGTGGGGGATCCCAAAGGCACGCTCTCACATTGGCCAATCAGAGAGAGGCAGGGCCGCCCTCCACCGTGACATTTAATTAAGACGTTATCTGTGTCTCGGCCCTCTGGTGTTTCATTTTTGCCGATTTAATGCTGGAATGTTTGTTAAGAAACTGAAGAGAAAAAAAAATCCCTGCTATCTGTGAAGGCTTCATATCCATTATTAGTCTGACACAGTGGCATGCACTCTCTTCCGCTGAAGCGGCTGGCTGTGCCCTGAGAGGCCGTATTTGCTCAAGTCCGCGACTTCCCCTCACGCCTCCACAGCCGAAGCAACATTCACACCAAGGACTGGGATTAGAAGCTTTTATTCTCTCATTTCTTTCTTATTTTCTTCAGCCTCCTGATATCCAGTGAGACCCGGGGTGCAGGTTCTGTTGTTATCCTTTCTGTACTGTGTAAGCAATGAAACAGACGTGGGAGTATTTCCTCCTTATGAATTTGCAACCTTTACCCCCTTAGAATGTGCCTGAATGTCTCTGATTGCAGGTGTTTACTATAAGATGATTGCCGGCGGCAACAAACTCCTCCAGATCATTTTTGTCAAAGTTTATTGAGCGTGGTTAGCGCCCCCCCTTTAAATGTTTTTCATGTCTAATTTTTCTGAGGAAATATAGCATCCAAAGATGTATTTTCTCGTCACTTGTAGAAGCCCCCTCCCCTTTAAGACACATTTACACATATTAAATTCAGAGCTGACTTACACAGCTTGTTCCTGATAAGCCCAGAAGTTTCCAGTAAGTCACCATGAGGGAATCTACAGACATAAGGCCAGTAATATCCCTTTTCTGTGATATTAGACAAAAAAAAGTTCCCCTCAGAGGGATCAGCAAAGTTCTATCTTATTTTGAATCTCAATCCGGAGTCCAGCAACCCTGCTTTCACAAGTACAACATTAAAATTGACGTCAGTAGCAAACACATAGCAAGCACAGGGAGTAGTGCTATTGTTCAGCAACTGGAGGGTTGCTGGTTCGAGCCCTGGTTCCTCCTGTCCCCATCAAAGTGTCCTTGAGCAAGACGCTGAACCCCAAATTACTCCCAGTGTGCAGGTTGGCGCCTTGCTTGGCAGCCTTCACCACCGGTGTATGAATGTGTGCGTGGATGGGTGAATGTGAGGCATAAATTGTAAAGCGCTTTGAGTACTCATAGGAGTAGAAAAGCGCTATATAAATGCAGTCCATTTACATACAACAAAGAGGTTAGTAGATGATAACTGCATCTATTATTAATTAATAAATGAATTTTAAAAATCAAATTAAAATATTGTTGAATTACTGCTTAGGTTAGCTATGTTATATATATCAGACTCTTGCATCTATCTAAGGCTGTGTGACTGTTCTCCACATTGCTGTGCTAGTTTATTGTAGCACATGACAGGAGCAAACATAGTGTGTGGGATTCCCTGTCATGTGGCATCATAATAAAACAATCAGCTGACAGCAACTAGCTAGCTTTAAAAAGTTCAAAATACGTAGCGAGCATTACATAAAGACAGCTGTACTTGTTTTTATTTTTGCTCATGCGCCAGCTTCCTGGGGGAGAGCTGTAGTATCTCCAAGGAGCCGCAAATTTGCACCCCCCCCCCCCTCCACCCCCACCGGAAGTTGGATTTGTGGGGCCTTAGGCAAGTCTTTGACCCCACTAAGCTGTAAATCTCCATTGGGCATGACGTTTGCATCACTCTGATGTGGTACATGGAAAATTCTATGACTATAATTTAAACATTCAGTTTGTGAAATGCTACCAATAGGTATTTTGAAGGTTTTTTTTCTGAAAAATGAAATTTTCGGTTTTAATCCCAGATCTTTTAGAAACTATGTTTGATTACTACAGCTTGGTGCTCCATAGAAAATGTTAAGGGGCAAATCTGTTTCTTTGTACACATATAAGAACTATGATTAACAACCACAAAAGATTTACACTTACATTATTACATTCAACAATTTTGGAAAATCCCAACATTGGAGGATTTCAATAGCTAACCATTTTTGAGACATTTTGTATTTTAAGATAAATTCATAACAATTATTAATATATGGAAATTGCACTAATATTAACAACACTCCTATTAGTAATGCTTCAGATATACAATCACTGGAGGAAATATAAGGTTTTAAATTAGTCAGTGTCATACATAACCTTGTCAAATAAATGGCTGTACGTAGCTTGTTGGATAACTCAGGTAATTTAAGTTTCAGTAATGAGTTAAAGTTATGTTTGTAAGCAAGTCTGGAAATTAAGCTTGCCCACTTACCTGAGGCGAGTAATTTAGACAAAGGGCGAGTACAAAAAATCTTAACACTAGCCCACTGGCTAGTAAAAGATTTGCACATCAGACTACATTTTTTACTGAACTGGCCCAATCAGGTAGTAGCAAACATTCTTAAGTTCCAGCCATTTGTAAGGGTTTCCTCCAGGTACTCCGGTTTCCTTCCACAGTCCAAAGACGCTTATTTTAGCTGGACCGGTATCTCCACATTGCCCCTGCGATGTAGTTATTTGCATGCATGTTTGTGCCCTGTGATGGACTGGCATTATTTCCAGGTTCTCTCCCTGGCCTCTCATGCACTGTGCTGCCTGGGATAATCTCCAGACTCACCATGAGCCTACATTGGGGAAATTCTTATGGAAAATGGATTCAGGGGTAATAATCACCATAAAGTAGCCCCTAGCTTGAGAGAGGCCCAACTGATCACTCGTGTTGCTTTATGTAAACATTCTCTGCTCCATTATTGTGTTTTTGTAGTGAGTCAGACAAATCAGTATGTGTGTGTTATTGAATTAGTTAAATATGCATGTGCTGTTGAAGTATTCTGGAGGAGTTTTGTGAGTGTGACTCCAGATTCACACAGTATTTTAGTGTTAAAAAAAAGGCACACTTAGACTCTACCGACCGTGGCATCATTTTCGCTCCATAGCTGGCAGACAGTGATTGTTTTTTGCATTTCTCGTTCTTGCCAATGTTGTCATTAAGACAGCTTTTTATATATGTACGATCATTCTGTGGCTCAGTTGTGCTGTCGTTGCTCATTCCATGGTCTTGGATTTGAATTCTGGGTCTTCAATTTTTCTACTTACCGTTGCTGTTGTTTTTCTGGGCGAATCGGTGGGCTGCCCTCGTAACGCGAGTACGTTGCGAGCGTCTGGTGACGCACCGGTGACCCTGTGCATTCTGGGACAGGCTCCAGGTCGCTGTGACCCTGACCGCGTGAGTGGTTACTGCGGATGGATGGACAGATGAGATGTCCTGCCTAGTGCATCCCCTTCTGGGGGAGACCTGCTGGGCAGAATGCACGAGATGGATATGGCTGCAAATCGGCGTTATGTTGGTGCTTAGCCAATGTGCTTCCACCCAACCACATCGCTCCTTGCTGGGGAACCCCGTGGGTGATACCTGACTGATGAGAGAAGCCAAGCCTTCTGAGTACTGCTATAAACCACTGCTGTTATATCAGAGGGAATGTCTGCTAGTATCGGGGTGAATGCACACTGGGCTAATTTAAAGCGGAGGGTGCTGACTCGTGCATGTGTATGTGCACCACAGACGGCTCTCGGGAGCAACGGCCTCCGTTTGGCGCTGGCCCAGAAGCGTGCTTTGAATCCTTGTCCAGATGGATGCACGGCATGCTGACGTCACTGTTAACCCCCACTGAGAGGAGTACAGAGGTATGGACTCCAGACACTTACGGGGCGTGTGAATCCCCCAACCCAGCTTCGGCCGAATGTGGCCGGGAACGTCCTGAAGGCCGGTTCACGCTCGCTGTGGACTCGGATACAACGCCTCATCCATGGATGTGGTCACGTGATTTTCAACATCGAGGTCAGGCATGCAGACTGCCATGCGCAACTGCGCAAACCATTCGAAGATGGAAACAACGTAGACAGTGCGTCCAATGAGGCCGCGATCGTTCATTGGCCAGGGGAACAATAGCAGGAACTCAGAAAGGAATCAGACCAAAGAATGTATATAATCACCTTTTCTACTCTCTCTGATCACACTGCAAACAAATGCATCTAGTGGGTTCAGAGTAAAGTTAGTGAGGAAGTTCGTAAATACCGGCAGTTATTCCTCACTACAGAATCCTAAAAACTCCAGATGGCTGCAAAGTAAAATAAGATACATATGTAACTGCAACTTCATATACCTGTCTATGTCTATGTCTATGTCTATGTCTATGTTTATGGTGTCGGTGTTATTTTAGTTTTGATTTTTCTACTTTATTTTTTTATATTTTTTTCAATTTTCATTTGAAATCCAGTTTAGTTTTAAGTGTGGCTTAGTTTTTATTCTAAGAATGTCTATCTAGTTTTAATATATTTTAGTTTCAGTTTAAGTTATTTTTTAAGTAATTCTATTTTTGGGGATATATGGAGAGTAGTTTGCTATTTCTGTGATTCAAGTACACTGCATGAAAGAGGCCCAAAGATAAACAAATCATTACTTTAGCTAAATAGTAATGGAAGGTATCCAACATTTGTTTTTATTTCCGATAGTTTCAGAAGCAATTATAGCAATTTATAGTTTTTGTTTAGTTTTTTACTTTTCGCATCTTATTTCAGTTTATGATAATAACCCCGGTTTGCATACTGTACATACAAAATGCAGATTAATTTTAGTAACTTCTTTTTAATATCCCATACATACCACACTTCATAAACGTGATTTGAGAACAGGCTTGCTCTACGGCGCCTCCCAAGGCCAGGTGTCAAAGTACATGGATGCCTGATGAATATTCAGAAGGCGGATGGCGTGGCACTACGGTGCACTCTGTGGCATATCCGCGTCCTCAGTAAGTATGAATCAGCCCTTAGGCTACTGCCGCTTGCAGCCGGCGATCTCCCCCAGAGTCTCCTAAAGCGCCTGCCTGCTTTAGGGATCCGGTTCTGCGCTGATACCAGGCACCGTGAAGCTGGAGCAAGACTGGCAAGGAAG